TGTATTCTAGGCCATTGGCCCCTATAATACCCCCACCACATTTTACAGAAGAGACCTCCATGGAAACTGAATAAATTATAAATGAAATACATTTCAATAACATTTTTAAAACATTTCAAACTCTGTACGGTAATCTAATCAATTTTTAATAAGAATTTTAGGGCATATCAACACAATTACGTCATATAAGTGTCGAAGATTAGAGGTGTTACAAGGGAGTAATAAACACATAAAAGAAGAACGAGAGATAAGGATGACAGCTGTTTGATAAGAAAGTAGGAGCATACCCCACCAGAGCACCCACCAACCACCCACTTACCGACATCTAAGAGATTGGATTGAGTATGATCAGACCAGTCAGCAAATAGCCTTGTCTGTTAAACCTACCCAAAACAATGTGGGTTAAATTTAAATCAGAGTCATCCGTGCAAAAGTCCACCATTTTGATTGTGCGAAAAATAGTATGTTTGTTTGCTTAAATAAAGAGAAGCACATCGATACAATAATGCCTCCCTCCTTCAAAGTCTCTCCCAGAGGAGGAAGTCTCGGCCATTGTGGGTAATATTACAGACCAGTGATTGAGCATCGACTTATTGAAGCTGTCTATATTTCTCATTTTCCGATGTAGCAATATCATCAAATCATATGAATAGAACTTGTGTGTTTGTGTGTGTGTGTGTGTGTGTGTATGTGTGTGTGCGTGTGTGCCTGCATGTGTGCGAGCGTGCAAGTCCGCATGTGTGTGTGCATGTATGTGTGGGGGTTAATCTGTATGTAGTCACACCTCAGGTACTAGCCTGAGATCTAGCAAAGAATGCAAAGAAACAAAGAAGAAAAAGAAGAGCTTCCAGCATACTCAGTGCAAGACGTTCACCTACCACACAGACTCGCTGATCACTTCCAAGCCTGAGGGCAAGGGCCACATTTCCATCACTTTGGCCCACAGCTCTGACAGCCAGGGAGATACCACTGCATCCACTCTGCAAAATGACGCCCACAACATTTATAACTTATTCATAGAAAGAATAAGGATGTAATTATCATTCCAAAGTTTAGAAAATAATGTGTTGCTAGTAAGAGCATCTGTTAAACAATGTTCTATTAGAATGATATTTGCATTTTCAAAACTTTTTATCACAAGATAGCCAGTCTGAGGTTTTCTAAAAAGAACAAAAATAAACCTACGGGAATATCATTTGTCATTTTATAAAATGCAAATTCTCCCAAATATTGCCATTGTTCATAGTTCTTAGGTTGTCAGACAGTAGAAGCCTAAGAAACAATAATGGGCACTAAGTCTGCAAGTTTTTTTCTTTGTGTCAATTCATACTACAATTAGTAGGTACTGCAGATGACAGAAGTCAAACAACATTCAATAGCTTTACATGAAGAAACAAATGGACCCGTTACCGTCTTACATTGTGCCCAGTGGATCTGCATGATAAAATAAAACACGCCAGGATACCTAGATATGTCATCTCTGGATCAGAGGTTGACATGCAATGATGACTTGCCAGTGCCTTCGGTCTCTTGCTGCTGTTTAAATATTATCATACTCAGGCCAGTTCATCGACGTTTATAATCTTTAAAGCATTAAAACATATCAGCACTTACTAACACACTACAACTAAGAATTCAACAAATGAGTCTTGAGCTTTAGTATGAGCTGTGAAGGAAGAACACACAAACCTGGATCATTTTCCTCCAATCTGAACATCTGATCTGGATTGAGTTCGAGCAGAGAGAGGAAAGCCTCCACTGTGTCGGTTAAGTTCTCCGGGTGAATCATCGCTACATCCCCAGGTTCAAAACTGGAACAGAAAATGAAAAAAAAATTAATTGACATAATGTTGTCAGCAAGCCGTTAAAATTTATACCAGGCCCAGAAAGAAAAATTTTACGGGAGAGAGACAGAACTATTTCATTCTTTAAAAATTGTACTTACTTTATGTATTTTTTCCCACCTTTTTCTTTCAACATTAAGAATTTGAATTTCAGAAAAATATTTCTTGAGCACATGCAAATGACACCACGGATTAAGAAACAGATTTTTTTAAAATCCATTAAAGTATGTTTTGAGAAGTGGTTCATAGGCCATGCATAGAGAGCTGCAGACTGGAAAATGAAAAGATATCCTAAACAATCTTGTTCATTTTAAGACTTGTATACGAGACTATTAAATAAATGCAGGACTGACATAGAATCTGTTCAGGTAAACATACCATCGGCCAGTTGGTAAAACGTACTTGGCCCCCCAAAATTGCTCGGTATCAAAACTCATTACGTGATCCAAATTGTTTACAACAGCGCTCCTTTCCCATTTCAAAGCATACATGGGAACCCAATCAACCTTATTTTTGTTTTAACAACCCTGGCCTTTCTGCTATGACTTAAAACAAATACTTCAGAAATCATAACTGAAAAGTAGAAAAGAAAGAAG